GCCTGACTTTCTATGATGTGTACAGTCCTCATTTAAGGAAGAAAGTCATTTAATATTTCGGCTGCCTTATCCTTCTGTGCAACTTCATTTCTCATTCTGCTCTGTAATGTTCTTTCTCCTTGGTTGATCGCTTACTTTTGTACTTCAGACATGAAATTGAAGTTCTTTGGTATTCCAGAGAGGTTTGCTCCCAGCCTCTGCTGCCTTGCCTTTCTCATTCACCTTGGTGTGGATCTTGCCTCTTCTCTCTCCCACTTCTCAAGTTTTGTCATCCCTATCTCTTTGATAGGTGATGAGTACGCTCAACAGGGACAGCAAAGGGTCTCCTGCTGCTGTGATGCTTCTCTGCAGCTGAATTCTGTCTTGCTCAGCCACCTTTCTGGGAATCTGTCAGTTTGTCTTTAAACCTGCTCTGATTTAAAACTTTTTTCTTATGCTGTCTGATCCCTAGCAAAAAATAGATGATAAAAATCACAATTCTTTTTTGGCTTTGTGGAGTGCTTAGAGACTCTCATAGAAATACAGTATTATCGCCAGCGCTGACAACTGGCAGGCAGTGTCCCGGATGCCGTTTTCCTAATGCCTCAAATGTTTTTCCTATGGGAGTAAGAGAACAGTAATTCTTCCCCATGAGCAGGCACAGACGTAGCAGAGGAGGTCTTTCAGTAGCCAACTGAATCTGAGATTTATCAGAGGAGTTATAAGGAAATAATGGGAAGTGATCTGCTCCATGGCTGCAGATGGGACGGAGGATACGGGACCAGCAAGGGAGGCAGTGAAGGGGGAGGAAGGATTCCTGGGAGCTGCTGTGGGTGTTGGAGAGAGTTGCCTCTAAAATGGAGAGGAACTCAAGGCAGCGGGATGAGGGCTTTAGGAGAAAGGAGATCTGAGTTGGGGGTGAGGCACAGGAGACTTGACTGCAAAAAGATTTCAGAGGGACAAGAGAATGTGAAAGCTTGAATCAAAGCAGCTCAAAGATTGGCTTTAATATCTGTTTAGATCAAAAATAAAAGTCTGTATGGATTAAGAGATAATCCACTAGATAGATTTAATCTGCCACATGTACTGCTTTCACAAAGAAAAGCATTGGGAGGGGAAGGTTGGTTTGGCTCAGTGCCCAGGATTTGAAGGCAGGTGAGATATTCTCCTTTCTTCTGCAGGCCCCCTTTCCGCTTGTCCCAAAGCGTGCATCCTGCCCAAAGGGAGGGGCTGTCGCTGTACGCCTCCTGCTTCTTTGCAACTCCCAAGTCACATTGAATTTATCTAAAGGAGTTTCTCAAGCAGAAAAGAGCACCGAGAGCAAAATAACACAGCAATGTCTAATAAGATAGGCACGGGGTAGGTTCAGATGCTGATGGTGGTTTTGGCTGTCTGAATGCAGGGTTTTGAGGGGCACTAATGGGCCTTTTTATTAACACTTAGCCCTCCTGTCCTGATTGCAATTGCCTTCCAAACAAATGCCACTCAGTAGCACTCTCCTTAAGTGGAGGTTGAGGTCTGGATGCCACCTTGCTTCAAACACTTTGCCCCTGAAAACTTTGGCAACAGACCTCTTCATCCTTTCCCGTTTCCTTTCTTTACAAGCACCAGGTTGACTCCTTGGAGCAAATTCCGTTTCCACAGCAGTAGAAATACTAAAGTTGCTGGAGGACACTCTTGAACATGACGGGTTTTTTTTTTTTTTCCCATGTATTTTTTTCAGTATCAATATGATATATTGTCTCTTTTAACTAACATGTGCAACTGTATCTTGAACTGTACATGCATAACGGTCATGCACTTTTAGAAGCCTGTACATGTGAGAGAACTTGGATTAGTTGGATTGAGGGCATTTAATAATTTTTTCATGTTATCTTGCTTAGCAAGATAAATTAGATATAATTATAGCATAAATTAGTTCTGTAGACTTGTGTGTATTCCTTCTGTGTTGTGTGCCTGCCTCTGTACCACCTCAAGTGAAGGTTTTTGGCATATCTCCTAAGGTCAGTGGGATTTGGCCTGGCAAATCCTAGAGTAGGAGATCACAGGACAAAGTACAGGATGCCTCAGAGAAGGGCCATCATGGTTTGAAATATCTGAACTGGCACTGGACAACTTCCCCAGCTTGTGCTGGGAGCAGGATGTGTACCTGATACTGTCATTTTATGGATGAATATAACCACTTTCGGTTATTTTTGGTGGGCAGTAGGAATGGATGAAGCTATAGATGTCTTCCCTCTTTCCCTTCTGGATACACCATTACTGTTGTAGCGAGGGCACAGTAATTGCCCATCATGCTGTGGTTTTAGGGATGCTTCCTTTTTAGAGGTTCCAGCAAACCTTAAATGAGAAAGATGTATGCTTTGCTTTCTGTTCTTCCCCTGATGCTGTCCATGCACTGCGGGAGGTGTTAGCACTGTAGCACCAAGAAGCACTTTGTAACAGCCAATGCACTGCCTGTGTTTGGTGGGGGCGTAAAGGCAGTTGTGGCACCGTTCCTCTCTTAAACCAGATGTCTTAGAGGGTGAACGTTAAATGTGGAAGTGGTTAAGGGTGAAAGGTAAGGATAACTGGGATTCCTCAAAAACTCCTTTGCTTCTTCACAGCTAGCAGAAGAGTGAGCGTGGGAAGGGAGAGGAAGAGGTGCTACCTGGTGAAGCAGTGGAAATTATGTGGGGCAGGAAAGAGAGTGAGGGAAGCATTTGACTGCCTCACTTGACCCACTCACATTCATGCAGTGGGAGGGAGAATGGTTACTGGTTTCCAGGCCTGAGCTTGCATAACTAGTTGCTTAACATTTCCTTCTGGGAGAGAAACGTGCCTTGTCAGCCCCTGAGAATTGTGTCTGGGAGTCAGCAGGGTGCTGGCTAAAAGGCAGTTGATACCTTGCTTTTATTTGAAGCTTCAGGAAGGATTTGTTGAGTTGTTCTAGGAGAGAGGTTTACTCTCCTAGAAGGCAAGAAGGTGAGAAGGTCAATTGCATCATTGATTTGAGGGAGAGAGGCAAAGCAGAAATAAATGACCAATTTTTTTTCAGCTTTGAAGGAAGTAAAAATAGTCAGATGCCCCCAAGAGCAGTGCTGGAAATAGTGTCAATCAATACAATTATGAGACATCTAGAAAAGGGGTGAACTGTGAGGTGGGAAAATTCGCTGGGGAGAGTGGTTAGGGAAGACTTAGGTCCTTCAGAGACATCTCACACTTTAACAAAATAAGGCAATGGGACAGCCCTATGACACATGAAATTTCCTGCAGACAGGTGCTCGGAAATGCACACTGAAAGGAACAACAGAAACTACTCTGAGAACCGACCGAGTGTATAAGCGATGTGGACTTACTCCACTGAGACAGAGGGAGGGTGTGGGAAGAAAATCATGAACAGATTTGTACGTAGTGTTGGTACAAAATACAAGCTGTTAGGCTGTATTTAAAATAAAAGGATGGGGAAATGGAGAATAATTCTGAGAGGGAGAATCTCATGAGGTTCAGTTTTGCTCATCTCCCACTCCAAAAAGAATAAAGTAGAAACAGGCTGTGTGCTCTCCTGCCATATGCACGAGGAAGGATTTTCATGCCCCCAGAAGCGGGGAGCATGGCTATAAACAAACAGAAACACTTAAAGCTATTTAGAGAAAGAAGTGGGGGTCTTTCAGAATGATATGAGGTGAACAGGCTACATGTACTTGCTGTTTTTTCACTACCTGCTGTGAGGGGGGCTTCAGTGGAGTCCATTTCTGTACTGTAATAGGGAATGTGCTGCACAGAGTGAAAATTCTTGAAAAGACGGGTTTGGCACAGTTTAAAAATGGGAATCATGGATCACTGCTGATGTCGAATTTGTTGCTAAAAGGAATTATACAGACAAAGTGGAATAAAAAAAAAAAGCATGGGAGCTCTCTACTAAAAAGCAAAGAGGGACTTCTGGTGAAATTATAGACAGTGCTTGAGATTGATTTTTACAGGCACAAAATGATCCGATGGAACTCATTGCTACAAAACATTGCTGCAGTGGAGTGCTCTCTCTCCTAATGGCTTTTGTAGCCATAAAAATATTCTTTGCTGGTTTCATTAGAGGGGTGAAGATTCAGAACAATTTTCAGTTTTTGAGCTTGAAGCCAGGGAGAACCTGCTAGTTGTGCATGGGGAGGGAAGATCTCCTGAGGAAGCAACTCCATAGTTACCCGTAGCTGATGCCTGGTCCCTGTGTCCCTCCCAGCCTCTGGTTGAGCCTGTGTGACAGTTCCTGCAGCATGGTAGTGTCTGTGCATGGCATGCTGGCAGTTTCAGTCGTGCCCCTGGCTGCAAGGCACCTTCTGTAAGCTTTCTGGGAAAGGAATATGTCCATGTGGTGAATGCGGAGATACTTAACCAGTGACCTCTATCCCCTGCTGCCACAGAGTGCTTTTCAGCTCAGTCCCAAAGCGTTTTGATGCTCATCTAGTTATGCAAAAATTATGCAAGTTAGCATGCTTTATTGCTCCAAATGAAGACCTAATGTTGTTTAGCTGATGTGGAAACCAAATCACAAAGCTGCGAAGCAGCATGGAAGAAGGTGTGCAACAAACTGCTGGTATAGTAGAGGACAGGATAAGCCTTGTGAGCCCTGAACTCTGCTCATTAGCATGTGTTGCCTTTCATTTTTAACAAGTCATTTTTATTAAAAATGTGTTGGCAGTTGATAACTGGCTGTGGCTTTCTTGTCAGTGGTACCTGCAGAGAAGTGTAGGGCTTGCGGCACTCCGGTGTCGCAAAAAAGCTCCATTTCTCCCATCTTTCTGTGCTGTGCCTCAAACAGCCGTGGGAACGTTGTGCTGTGAGTCGTGGACTAGATCTACCTTCATGTTTGAGTGCATGAAGCTCTCAATGGGACCAAGACAAGCATATCTCAACCAGCACTATTTTGCCCAATGAAACAGTCCAGTCCACTGAGATTCACATCTTTTGCTGAGGGCCTGGGCACTAACTGTTGCTAAAAAAAAATCTCTGGATTCTTCATCTTTAGAAAGGTGCTTTCTTCCTAGGATCTCTCAGCGGGTGGAGGCCAGCCGGGCACAGCTTCAGGCAATCGGTGAGAGAGTCACGCTTGCCCAGGCGAAGATTGAGAACATAAAAGGCAGCAAGAAGGCTATTAAGGTAGTGACTTCAGTGAAGGCTGCATGGCCTCCCTTCTTCCTTCCAACTTCTCTCTTTACTTCTGATGTAAGCTCTGCAGAAGAAGAGGTGTTTGGCTGCCACAGCTGCTGCCCGTTCGCCTCTCCATGCCTTGCTGCTGAGCAGGGTTGTGATGAGAATCTCCTTCCTGACTTGGCCAATTGATGATTTTTAGAGCCATGAGCCAAACAGCTCCCAGCCTTATGAGGCCTAAATAGGTCACTGCCCCAGCTTCTCCCTGCGAAAGAGAAAAGGCATGCGCTGAGCTAAGCCCAACACCCTCTCACTTCAGGTTCATAGACACTTTGGCTATTTGAATGAAAGCTGCTGTTAGAGAGCTTGCCCTTATTGCATCTTAATCTTGTTGAGCTGTGTAAAACTAGTGAAAACCCTTCTTTCCCCATTTTTCCTCCATTTAATACAGTGTTTGCAATTCCCTTATTGCCAGTGGAAGCCTATGATCTCCTAGTACTTATATATAGATAGAAGTTCTGGCACTTCCACTGTCTGAAGTGACGGTCCATGCATTTTGGGGTCTGTGCAGATAGCCCTTACAAGCCTGTTGACTCCAAGGCTATCCATTCCCACTGGCAGCACAAACTCTATGCCTTACTCCACTGCATGTGTTTCTATAGTCTAGCATTGCCCAGCTGTTGGGATTTTTCAGTCCCCCCTTGTCTCTCCACAGGTATTTTCCAGTGCCAAGTATCCAGCCCCTGAACGGCTGCAGGAGTACAGTTCCATTTTTGCTGGTGCAGAAGACCCAGCTAAACAGAAATGGCCAAGACACAAGATTCAGAGCAAACACCGAGTGCTGGATGAGAAAGCTCTGCAGGTAAGGAGGAGGAGAACAGACCTTGAAATGAACAAGCAAGGAGAAGCTGGGAGGCTGTTTGTTTCTGATGAAGTGTTCCAGGGCTTTAGAATATAGGCTGGGAGCAGAACATCTTGTCAGCTTGGCCTGTTGGTGGGGGTGTGTGAGGTCAGGCTGAGAAGCTTGCGGAGCTGCTGGTTTAAGAGGACCATGTCTATACAAGACCTTGGTGCAGGGGTTGAGTGCTCTGGGTGGCTGTTGGCTGCCAACTCTCCGGAGCAGTTCCATCTCCTCAAACACCACCGTTTCTCACAGCGGTGCCTGTGGGTGCTGCTGGCTGAGCATAAGGCTTCGGCTGTGTGTAGCAAGGCAGCTAGCATCAGGGTCATAATTGTTTGAAAAACAGTTTCTGAAGGCTGTAATGTAGGCAATGGTGAGAAGGGAAAGGCGAAAGTGCTTGTTGGTGTGTCAGGAGAAAAAGGACTCATGGAAGCGTTTTTCTGACCCAGGAAAGCATCGTGCTTGGGTATTGTCCCTCCCTGGTTCCCAACTAAGTTTTCCATCTTGGACGAGACAATCATTTTGCTTCATTACATCTTTTGTTTGTGCTTTGCTTCTTTGTCTTGTTTTCAGCTGTTGTGGGGTGCAAGCCCTTCAGAGAAGGGGTGAATCAGTACCCAGCACGGTTGGGGCTTCCAGGTCTGCGCTTAGCACAGATGTCTGCAGCTGGTGGTGTTGAAGGAGGTCCTGAAGTATTGAGTTCCCTTTTAGCCCATGGATTGGGAGGCAGAGAGGGGCTTCTTAGGGAGGTCTGAGAAGTGGTGGGTTTGACAGGAAATGCTACCGAAGGACTCTCCAACAATTTGGGTCAGCATCCCCGGGCTGGAAGGAGGGGAGGAAGAGTTACCCTGTTTAAAGTTTAAAAGTTGCTGTGTATGCGCTGTGCCAGGAGCAGTGGCTGTACTCTTCCTGGCAGGTTAGGGGTCAACCTGACAACTTCCCTGCTCTCCACCCCTAAAGACACTTCCTTCCTCATCCTTGTGTGCCGTGGCCCAAAAATAAAGCTGCCACTGAATAATTTATCACAATAAACTTTCCTGAGTTTTAATGGAGTTGAGACCTCACACAGTGAGGTAGTTATGAATATTTCAGCCAGGCTATGGAAGCAGGGTTGCTGGCCGAATGGGCAGCTGGCAAACTCCAGCAGGGTTCGTGCTTCCTTTGAGCCCTGGCAGTAGTGCAGGGCAGAGTTGTGTGGGACCTGCTGTTGGCCGACCAGGGGAGGCTGGTTAGGGTTGTGCTGTCTGGCTGGTGGCCCCATCCATCAGAGCGTGTGGGAGGAGCAGAGGTGTGCAGTGGGTGGGCAGGGAAGATGCTCTCCCATGCTGAAGCGCTGGTCCCCTCGTGCAGGAGAGGATCGAGAAGAGCATCAGCTGGTGAAAAGCAGTGTCCTGCAAAAATGCCATGCCCATCCAGCTGGCCTGCTGGCTCCCGTAGGCTCTGTGTGCCCTCCCCCACAGCCCCTGCCATCTGCCTGCAACATCACCTCTTCCCTGTCCCAGGCGGTCTCTGTACCATTGCCATGTTCTGCCCTTCGTGACCCAGGCTGCCATCACCACAGGGACTTTCTTGCAGGCTCTGTGGGATGTTTCTATTTGTTCCACCCCTCCTATGACCCATCTTTCGATCTTCCCTTGAGATTGTTGACCTTTCTCTGGGTTTGCTGACCCTACCTCATGCAGTGGTCTTGTTACTCTTGCCAAGCTCACACGCACGCCAGCATCTGCAGCTCTTGTGTGGGGCTGGGGGATGCTGCTGTGCTGGCGAGTGGCTGTCAGCTGATGAGTGATGGAGGAGCCTGCATCAGGAGCAGCTGATGTGCTTAGAGGGGCTCCATGCGGTTGAGCTCTGACCACGTTCCAGGGGGACTGGCCCTGCTCGGCCATAGCTGGGCACGGAGCCTGACGTGGCTTGCAGTAATGAAATGTGACAGAGGGAAGTCTAATGTTTGCATTTATGCCCTCTTCAATTATTCAGGGCTTTCAGCAGAGGCTCGCTGCCTGTTTTCACTTCTAATGAGGGCCTCTTTGCTGGGAGCAGTTGCAGTGGCCTTTGCTAACTTCACTCGCACACGCCCCACCAGGAAAGCAAGCTCTGCTTTTGTCAGTTTGAGGGTAAGTGGTGGCAGCCTGTGCTCAGCGCTTAGGGTTTGTGCTCTGCGGGGCACGCAGCTGAGTTAGAAATGCGCGTGGTTCTGCAGTTTATTTAGAAATGCTTCCCTCCTGGGAAAGTCTCCTTTCCCCCTCCACACCCCAAGCAAGAGTAAACTCAGCTGTTGAGAGGACACTGTTTAGGCTGTAAGCACCGATGGATAAGAGTGCCAGAAACGTGGTCCTTGTGGTAAGCCTGCAAAGCCACTTGTTTTGCATGTTGCTCTGGTAGCAACTAGGCAGGGTTCAACAGTGAGTTGGCCGCAGCCTTGTGGGGCTTTTAGTTGCTGGGCACTGCCTTTGCAGTGGGACCTGTGTCCAGGTGGTGCAAGTGCCCCTCAGAGGGCTGGAAAATGGGGTAGGAGATGTGGTCTGCCTGGACTTGGGAAGAGGTCCAAGAAAAAATTATGGTCCACTGCTGGAGTAACCTCAAAAGGCTTCAAAAATGTCAGTGACTGGGCATGTCTTTGTGAATTCTGCCTCTCTCTGAGTCCACCATGGGCGTGGGGAGGCTAAACCAGCTTTTTGGCACTTGCCCATCTTTTCCAGCTAGTCTTAGCACACCATTGGCATGGGGATAATGGGGTTTCTGGTGTTTCACACCAATTCCCTTTTGTAATAGTGTGTGCTTTATTAAACTTAAGAACCAGAGTGACTTAATATACTTTTAAGTGTAGGCTCTTAGGAAGAAAAACGCCTAGAAACGCAGAATCCTTAAGGGTGTGATCCTGCCAGGTGCCAACCCCAGGCTGGGGTGTTTGAGCATTCAAGCACCCTCCATGACTTCAGTATGTTGAGTTTGCTGAACCTTTGGCTTAAGGCCTTAAGGTCCCTATAAGAAAACTAATTTTAAATGGCATATTAACTTGTGGAATTCACAGTTGCAGGTTAGTATTGACGGTATGTAGCTGTTTGAAATTGCAAAACGGATCTAGGTACTTGAATAAGACTAGCACTTTGATGGCATTTAAATTAAAAAGATTATGTAGACCCTCACGTTTCAGAGCAATACTCACGCTTAGTGCTTTTATGACTTCCTTAGATGAGACTTGTAAGTAAATGTAGGTAATGGTTGGTTTCTCACTACGCCCTTAAAGTGATGCACAGTCTTCCAGTGCTAATTGAAATCTACAAAGAGAGAATTAAAAAAATATATATATGACTTGAGGGCTAAGTGTGTGTGAACAGTTCTAGCAAAAACATCAGTACTCCCTCATGCTTAAAAAATTAAACATTGGGAAATGAATATTAATGATCAAAAGAACCTTTATTTTTGAATCTCTGCTTCTACAGTCTCTAAATAACAATTTATATTTTTTTGCCTATTTGCTTCTGTAAAAACTGAAGATGTTTCAGCGTATTTTTCACAAGTTGGAATGTGTTATTTTTTTGGGGAAAAAAAAATTAATTCAAAATCTCCCAGGTCTTTTCTTATAGCATTTTACAGACTCAGAGCATCATACAAATTCTTAGTGGATTAACTGAGCTGTGACTAAGCCATTTCCCAGGATTTCTGGCTACCATATTCAAGACTGAAATTTCAATCAGCGGGAACTGCTTATGTCGCCGAGATGGGGGTCTTAAAACTGAACAAACGGTGGTCTCCGTTTCCCTCATACAAGTACAGAGAGGGAAGAAGGACTCGGAGAATGGGATAGAGCAAGGATGCTGGAAGCAGTGGGGCAGTAAGAGGCTGTGGACAGTATTTGGAGTGTCTCTTTTGGTCATCTTCTGGTGACAGAAGAAAACCTCAAGAGCGTGGCCAATTATTTAATCTGTCCTGGTTAGTGTTCTCATTTCTTCTGGCATGAACACTGGCATGAACACTTATCACCTTACAGCTGCCGGGCTGCTGCTTGTCCTAGTTCATGAAGAAAGAACAGGAGCTGTGAAGGGGCTGAGGAAAGATGTGGGGAGAGGTCTGGGGTGGAGGTTTGTCCATCTTGGGCTGTCTCTGGGTTCAGGAACTGATGCCTTTCCTCCTTCTACAGCAAAGCGTGCTGTGGGCACCGAGCTTCATCCCTCAGAGCATCTGGCAGCGGGCGCTGTCATGCTAGCTGAAACACTGGTCTGATCTGGGATGGCAATTCCTGTGCTCTATAAAAGTCAAGCAGTTCAGATGTAATAAGTCCTTTTCTAAAGGGAGCTCTATTTATTATGCATGAAGTTTTAGAACCGAGAGAGGAGATTTCAGTTCATTAGAGTTGAAAACTCCTGCAAATCCCTCAGGCTTTGCAAAACCATCTGGCACACGTTCCACCCTGCGCACTCCCTTCTGCCTCATCTCTTGCCTAGTGCAGGCACTCTGTTTTTTGCTAACCTCTTTTTCCTTTGCCTTCCCTGCATACCCCACCGGTGGGATCACAACTCTTAAAACATCAACTCAGGGCAGCAGAGGGGAGGTAACAGAGATGTTTGGGGGACTCTGCCTGCATGAAGATGTCTAGTAGTTGGAGACATTGTAACAAATGCCTTTTAGACTGCGGTGCTTGATCCCTGCCTCTGGCTATAGAGCCCGAGCGGTTGTTTTATTTCAGTGGATCCTTGCCACTGCAACATCACAATATCACCCATCCATGGCACCAAAAGCACATGCCATGAGTCTGAAGTGCTGAGATTTGTCACGAGAGTGGGGTTGCAACATTGTCCATGTGCTTCCTTGCTCAAAGAAAGGGAGGTGGAGAGGGAGCACTAGGCTTCCCAGACCATGCAGTAGATCCAGCAGCGTGGGTTGTGGTGACTGGGGAGAGCTGTCTCAGCAGCTTTGAATTTAGTGTCTTACCACCTGTTATCTGTCTTCTTGCAGGAGAAGCTCAAGTACTTCCCTGTGTGCGTGAGCACCAAAATTCACCAGGAGGATGACGCAGAAGAAGGCCTTGGCAGCCTCCCCAGGAACATCAGCTCCCTCAGCTCCCTGCTGCTCTTCAATACCACCGAGAACTTGTGAGAGTTGGAGCAGCACTGTGCTGCTCCCCTGCCCCTGCTTCTCCTCAGAGGAGCTTTCCCTTCCCCAGGGGCAGCAATAACTGCTTGCTTTCCTGGGCATCTTACATACCAGGCTCCTGATGGGACAGGGTTTGGTACCTCTCTGTTGGCTTCCAGCTAGCAACCCTTTCTTCCCCACTCTTCCCCTTGGGTGGAAGGAGTTGTTTTGTCTGCACCTCATCTTCCACTCACCTGGTTTCAATGCAATTTTGCACTTCCCTTCCCCAACTTCATTTTTGCTGTCATACCACTGTAATTTCTCCCCAGCCTTGACAGCTGCTGTCACTCCTGCCCTTCTCCTGCACCCCGTGTGCCAGCCCAGGTACTGATCCGTCTCCTGATGATTCCTCACAGCAACACTTTATGGCTCTCGCTGCTTTAATGTCTCCACTGCCTCCCTCACTGCAGTTCCCTTTCCCATTGGGCTTTGCCTCATGGTTCCCCCTTCTGCTCATACTGAAGAGCTTCTTTAAGCTCTTCTAGAGCTTTCAGCTGCTGGACCTCCCGTTTCTTCTCCTGAACCAGAGAAGAACCAGAGAACCTGAACTTTCCCCTCTTGGTCTTTCCTCCTGGACCCTGAGCGGCAAGTCACCAAGAGAGACTGGTGTCCTGCTGTAGGACAGTTTCGGGCCAGGTGTTGGGAACGGGAGAGCTTGATGATGATGGCAGTGCAGTGGGGCTTTCCTTTAGGAGGAACATGGAGGCTGCGCTGGCAGGGTGAGGAGCTGATCGCCTCCTGGTTGTGAAGGGGTGAGGCAGGAAAATGGGGCTAAAAGAAGGAAACTGGAAAGCCCAGCATGTTCATGAGTGACTTGAGAGGTCTCCACCTCCAAGGCTTTCTTGGGTACGCTGTTTCTTTCTGGCCTTGGCTCTCGGGGCAGCATTACTGAAATAAGCATCCTCTACCCTTAGGTACAAGAAGTATGTTTTCCTGGATCCTCTGGCTGGAGCAGTGACCAAGACCCATGTGGCTCTGGAAACAGAGACAGAAGAGAAGCTCTTTGATGCTCCTCTCTCCATCACTGAAAGGGGACAGCTGGACCGACAGGTGAGATGCAGCTGGGGGGATGCTGCTGCTTCCCCTTCAGAGGATTGTGCTCAACTCTGTGAGGGGAGTTTGGAGACTCCATCACCTGATTATCCCCCTTGTGCTAACTCCTGAGCCTTGTGAGGTGTCTGAGGGTGAGGTGCCACTGCTAGGGTCGAATCCCCATTTTTCCGGCTGAGGAAGGGGCTCCTGCTGGTGCAAACACAAGGGCCAGCCAGCCTGAGCAAGGGGTTTGTGCTTGATATGGACATGGGGCAGGTGGTGCACCAACCCAGCTGCCCCAACACGTGGCTGATCTGATCTTGTACCCAACACCTTGTAGTGGCCATACCTGGAGCTTTACTGGTGTGTGGTTGAATGTGTGGTTTGGGGCTGTGTAATGGAGCAAATGGGAACCGTTTGCTTATCATGTTGGACTGGAGGAGATAGCAGTGTATATAGTAAACAAAACCCTTTATTCACAGCACACCTTCGGTACTGTTTTGCCTGTGTTAAACACAAAACCAAACTTCTGTAACTACTTGGTTTTGCTTCTCCTGCATCTTAATCTCCAAAATGGTTCTGTCACCATTCTTTTCTGGAGAAGAGACTGGCTTATGTAGGCTGCAAAAGTTGGTGCATGAAACCTTCAGAGGAAGAGAGAGTCAACTTGCAAGAAACTAGGAAGAATCTGTCACCTCTTCTTCCTCCTGCAGCCTGCATTTTCCAAGCCTGGTCTGCAGGGGATAACCTCTGAGGACAGGGAACTGCCACAGGACAAGAGCACAGAGTTGCAGGGGTAGCTGTTGAGCGGCCACTGTACCAAGACACACAAGCCCAGTTCTGACTGCTGCTCAGGCTGTTCCCTGCCGTGCCTGTGCTGCAAGGGAAACCAAGTGTGTAGTCACTGCCTTATCTTTTTGTTTGGGGTTTCTTTTAGGTAGCTGAAAACTACTTCTATGTGCCAGATCTGGGACAGGTCCCTGAGATCGATGTGCCATCCTACCTGCCAGATCTGCCCGGCATCGCTGCAGATCTTATGTACAGTGCTGATCTGGGCCCCGGCATCGCACCGTCTGCCCCTAGCAGTACTATTCCAGAGCTGCCCACTTTCAACACTGAGTCGGTGGAGCCTTTGCAACCAGGTATTTCTAATTCCTGATCCCAGGACCCTGTGAAGGAGGAAGGCAGGGATTGCTAGAAGGTGGAGACAAGGCAGAAAGTCCCTTGGTGGAGATTTCAAGATGGGTGTTGGAGATACCTCTGGCTTGCGCTTGGGCCCGAGTCAAAGCTGCAACCATCTCAAGTGCTGGCCAGTCTCCAGGCCCCCTCATCACCCTCACCCCCTGCGTGGCTAGAGAGGAGGGACAGCGGTGTGCAGGGAGGGACTGGCAGCCTAGCGGGATATCCTTGGGTCAGCTGGGCAGGCCCAGTGGCATGCAGCTGGGGAGGGCAGAGTAGAGGAATCTCAAACCCTGCCTTGGCCCTGCCTGCTGTGGGAGTGTTCTGCTGCACAAGTATGTGGTGAGGACTCTGATCTGTTGCTGCTGAGACATGCAAAGCTCTGAGCTGAGCAAAGCTCTGAGCTGAAGCTCTCAGTGTGCTGTCCTCTGGGGACTCTTCAGATGCAATTTCATCTTTCAGGCCTTCAAGATGCTGAGCTATTGCCGCCTCCTCCACCACCACCTCCCCCCCCACCTCCTGTTATGCCAACTACTGTGCCTCCTCCGCCGCCCCTTCCCCAGCCCACAGCCCCCTCTGAGCCAGCACGGACAGCGAGCGAGGAGAGCAGCAATGCAGTGCCTGCAGGTAAGGGCTGGGCATCTCCACAGCTTCACCAGCAGAATCTAATTCGTGCCTCCTGGGCTTCAGCCCATGTCCTTGGTTGATTCTCTGTGGCTTCCCAGGTGGTGGCTTCCAGTGGTGGGAGGAGAAGCTGCTCCCACCTGCCTAGGAGCTGCAAGCCTTCGGTTCCCCCATGGCGGGGCTGCTGCTGGCTGGGCTGAGCATAAGCCTGTCACTGAGAGGTGTCTGGGCATGGCTCACAGCCCTGAGCAGAGGCTGGCCAGGTATCAGAGCTGCCCTTTCCATGGGGATTTGGCTGGGCCTGTAGCTGGTGCACTGACCCGTGGCTTCTGCCTGTCCTTCCTGTCCCTGCAGCTTCGGTCCAGGGAGCCCCGAAGGAAGTGGTGAACCCCTCTACTGGGCGTGCCAGTCTCCTGGAGTCCATCCGCCAGGCCGGTGGCATTGGGAAGGCCAACCTCCGCAGCGTAAAGGAGAGGAAGCTGGAGAAGAAGAAGCAGAAGGAACAAGAACAAGGTGCTGAGGCTCTTTGGCAGAACTGATCTTCCTTGCTCTCTGCGCCCGGGCTGGGGAGGTGTAGGCCTGGGAGGAGACGGGCGAGCCAGGAGCACAGTGGACATACAGAGCGGAAAGGCATAGTCTCTCCTCGCAGGCTGGTGTAGGACACAGGTGTTTCCCATTCAGCCAAAGCTCTGTGAACTTGCTAAACCCCATCTGCCAGCCGGGCATTTGTGTTCTTGATGGAGACCCATGCTGTCTCAAGGTTTGCATAGAAGTTTCACGTGTGCTGCATGGGGGCAGACGCACAAAGGAAACCCTGGGGTGAAGAGAAGCAGGGCTGAGCTGGTTTGAGTAGGTGGTTTAGATAGCCGGTGCGGGTATGAATGGAGCTGGTTTGGCAGAATGAGACTGCAGACTCCCCTCTTGCCCCTCAAGGAATTCCACTCTTGGATTTCCCCAGAAGATGCTGTTACCCTGCAGTGGCTGGTGTTTTCCTGACCTGAAACTGTATTAGAGTGGGGAACATTAGGGGTTTGTTTGGGTTATTTTCTTTAATCTGAAGTCAGTATTGTGGGAGAATGCTTTTGCCGTAGTGCTAGGTTCAGACTGACGCTTCTTCCTTTCTGACTTGTTTTGTTCTGTTTCAGTGAGAGCTACGGGACAAGGTGGAGATTTGATGTCAGACCTCTTCAACAAACTGGTGCTGAGGCGCAAAGGTACTGTCTTGCAGGGTGGGCTGCTCCTTCCCCCTAGGAAAGAGGGTGAGCACTTTCTGGCACCTCTGGCTCAGCCACAGCCCTAAAACCGGGAACAGAGACACTTTCCCTGGTGAGGGCATGGATTTGCTCAAGTGGAGCTTTAGTTAAATGAGTGCTTGCACAGGGCTGTGGTGGCATTTACACGTGTTGGCCATTCTGCTTGTCTGGGTCACCTGGGTCCTGGGAGCAGCAGTATGAGATGTGGTTTACCCCTTCCTCTTTGCTGAGCCTCTGTGTTCTCTAGTCCCCAGGTGTCACTCACTGGTGATTTTCCTTTCCTCACAGGTATTTCAGGGAAAGGGCCAGGAGCCTCCGGAAATCCTGATGCTCCTGGAAGTCCTGCTGGTGCCTTTGCTCGTATGTCGGACTCAATACCACCCCTCCCACCCCCACAGCAGCCTGTGGGTGAGGAGGATGAGGATGACTGGGAGTCATAGATGGGGACATTTGAGCACCAGTGTGAATCCCAGGATTCTTTGAACTAAGTACCTTCAAGAGACACCAGCCTCTGGCAGTACCTCCTGGAGGGTGGGCACTGGCACAGCAGGGGGACCCCCTCGTATCTATTTGAAGAAGAGCAGGAGCAACAGGAGTACCACTGCTGAGGTTATAGCTATCAATGAGTTCTGCTGTGTGTTCTTCCCCCCCCTCCCCCAGTACTACATTCCATCTCCAACGCTGCTGCTGCTCATGCTGGTGCAATAAATCCTGCCTGAGCTGGCGGGCAGTAGGGCGGCCTGTGCTCAGAGGCTCAGAACTAGCATTGCTCCTGATTTAAAGGGCCCTCAGTCTCTCCTAATGTGACTAGTGATGACTGCAAAAGCATCTCTTGCAGGCACACAGCCCTTGCCTCATTTGTCTCCTTGCAGCTTGCTTGCCGAAGCTCCTGTCTGCTTGGTTGTTGCTGGAAGAGAGAATGAGTGTGTGTGTCCTTTCACAGGAGTCTAATTCTTCATGCCTCTGCACTTGATTGGTTTCTTTCTCTACCTGGCTTATGGTAATTCTTTGCCTGTTGCTGTCTCAAAAACGTCAATAAAGTTGAAGGAAGCAGATCCTTGCAGCCTTCGCTTTGGTAAAAGCGGGAAGTGTGCTCAATGAGGTGTCTTAAGGGCAGGGGCCTTACAGCCCAGGGCCACCAGCCACAGGGCTGGACGCCATCACCTGTGCCCCTGACTCGCACTGCTCTCTCAATTGGGTTAAGGCAGAGCTTGTGCCAGAGGGTGGGGTTTGTACCCACTGAAGGGGCAGGAGACTCGCCACAGAAGTTTCTGAGAAGCAGCTGCTTCTTCCCCTGTGGGGCTAATTAACATATAGGGAGTGCGTACCAGCTTTGTGTCTAATTGTAAGTAAGTGCTTTCTTCATTGTGAAAAGCCTTGAGAGGTAGCACCCAGCTTCTGAAACTGGCAAGGAGGCAAAAGAAGCTCCTGGGAAGACACCTTCTCAGGGTGACAGAAAGAGCTAAGGCCGGCTGTGAGATTACGTAGCTGTCCCTGTTGTTATTGCTGCCCTCCACCACTGACCCATGACCTAGGAAAGAACCCCAGGAAGGTTACACTAAATAAAAAAAAAAAAGTTTTACCATTTTCCACAGGAAGTTACTTGGAACTCAAAAGTCTAGGCAGTAAAAAGAGCAGAGAAATCCTGTGCTTCATCATGATCACAGAAATGCTGTCTGTATTATGGCTGTATCTTTGTTCCCCATGAGAGAACACGGCGCTCCTTGAATCTAGTGACTGCTTGAAGCAAGGTGGAAAGAAAGGGATAAGAAATACTACCCACAGTAGTGCCCCATGTCTTACCAGTCTGACTGTAATGGCCTGATAGTTTACAATGTGAATAGCTCTACCTTTTCATTGGTCATCAGTCCCCCTACACTTGGTGGTTGATGAAAAAAAAGGTAGATGTGTTTAGTCAAAATAATTATACTCCCCATACTTAAGTGTTTGCATTGAAAATATTTAATCAATTTAAATAAAACTTTAACAGCTGTAAAGAAAGAAGAGCCTGCTGCTCCTGCCTTCACCTGTCTCAGACTTACAGTTTCCCTCCTGGTTGTGGTGCTGAAGGCTGTCTCACCATCATAGCACTCAGATACTGAGTGGCAAACATCCACAAAGGAGGCAGAAGGTGAAGATTCACAAACTCCTTGGTACAGAAAAGCAGGAGTTTGTGTTGCTTCAGGTGTCCTTCAGAGGTGTAGCTCAGAGAGTTGACCTACAGCCTGTTCTCTGGTCCACATCACAAAGCATCCAACTTCCCTCGATGAAACTAGGAACACAGGAAACCAGACAGTTTGTCCCTGGCCTTACTCTAAAGTGAAGGTTTGAGAAAAGTACAGATTACAGTAGGAAACAGTTTTGGTAGCGGTACTTAAGATATAGAAGTTCTGACCTTTCTTAACTCTGCAAAAGCTGATCCAAAGGCAGGTTTCACCTGGGTTCTCTCCCTGATCCACTGTGGCAGTTTGTTAAAGATGGCAGGGCGTGAGTACCTGTGGTCCAGGAGCAGGATGCTTGCAAAGTCCTTCTGATGGCGAATGGCTCTGCCTGTACAGAGTGTACGACCGCATTAAAATGGCCCACTCAAGTGTTTGTTCTCAGGCAAGGAAGCTCATGTTCCCGTCATCTGTACTTAGACCGATCGGTAATGTGTCCTTTTTCCCACCCTCCTACTTCAGTGCAGGCACATTTGGTATCCCCCAGCCTGTCCAAGGAAGGATGAATTACCTATCGACTGGTTTACTGCCTTCATGCACAGGTTTTCAATCAGCACTTTGCTAGGTGCCTGGCCAGCAGCTCTGGGCTGGAAAAGAGAAATGGGCAAGACTGAACATGAGGCAGATGTAAATCGAACTTGTGAGTCTTAATAACAAAGTGAGGCAAACGCGTTTACCCTTGCAGAGTGAGTGAGTGGCCAAGCAGACCCCAAGCTGAGAGTAAGGAGGGACAGAAGAAAGGTTGCAGTCAGAAAACTATGTTGAACATTCACAAAGAGCCAGCCCAAGGTGGAAAACCTGTCCCCCGATGCCCAGGAGCAGCATCTCCAGTGGGCAGTAAGAAAGTGAGGCAGGAGGAGAAGTGATCCTGGCAAGCAGCTTGTACTGCCCTGCCACCTCCTGTGGGGCGAAGGGACCTTGCTCCCCTTGGAACTCAGAGTTCCCAGCAAGCCCCAGTGGTGTTTCCCTCCACTGAGCTTCTTCCCTGTGTTTTGTGTCACCTGTGCACACACGCAGCATGAAGGCGGCTGTGCTCTCGGTACCACACAATCTGGGAAACAAGGGCAAGCTCAAAGAAAAAGAATCTTTGAAGGCAGCCCTGGGACTCGTGTGCTGGGAGGAAAGTTAATACTAAAAAGATGAAGTGAAAGAGGCAGAGGTGTAAGTGTCTCTGTTACCATTGTTTTGTCAAGCCAAGTCATTTTTTCCTGGAGCTCTGGAGATTTAATGTTGGGGTAAGGCATTCCCACCATAATCACACACCTGCAAGGGGCAAGGGAGGACTGCATTATTCTTAATGTCTCATCCTGGAACGCTTTGCCAACAGACTGATAAATTAGAGGTCACTGCACCCCTGAAAGACAGCCAGCCCTGAAAACGAAAGGTGGCAATAAAGCACAGCAGTCTGACAAGCACATTCTGAATGGAAAGCTGCAGAGGGATTCAGGGTGCCAGAACAAGGGATTATCTAGCACAGCAAGCCTAACTGCATTACTCACACATAAAGTACTCTGGACAAGCGGGTTTTACAGCACCCAGCAGACTTGGTCCCGTTGGTTTAAGCATCACCCCAAGCCACGTGGTCCCCAGGATTTTCTATCAGTCATCTGTGCAAGTACTGGTGTGTCCATCGTGCTTGGACTCACCGCACCGCAAGCCCAGTGCTCACCTTCCAAGGAGCAGCCACCTTACCTCCCCAGGTCGTCAGAAAAGTTGATCCCTTCGCTCATTTTGCCTCCAACTACAGAAAGCAGCAGAGCCCCCGTCATCTGTCCTCCTGCCTGGCTGCAGCGCTGCAGGAAAGGGACCAGCAACTTAAACCAGAGGAGGGAAGATGTCTGTGCTGCAGAAACACTCCCGCAGCTGGGGTAGCAGCTCTTTCTTTGTTAAGAGCTGCAATGCCCTCTTTAGCATCACTCCCATACACAGCTGGAATGCCACACTCCTGCCAGCTCAGCTTACCTTTATGCACTTGGCGTACTCCACCAGCACCTGCTCCACCTGGTTGGCTTTCTTAGGCTCCTGAAAGATCTGTCACAGGCAGTGTGTCAGTTGCAGCAACAGGAAGCAAACAGTTTAAAGAAAGCAAATCATTTTACTCCCATGCCATTAAACAGCACATGGAACTGAAATCAGGGAAGGGCAAATTGCCTGAAAAAAAACAACTTAAATCAGCACCTTTCCCCTCCACCCTGGAAGAGCACTGCATGCTCGCTGCAGCACTTTTCAACTGGGCTCTGAAGGGAGCAGCAGCTGCTCCTGCCTCTCCAACACTCCCTTTCAGCTCTTGCAGATTTGTCTGATTCTGCAAGAAGTTAAGTCATTTGCGCGCTGGAAGGCAGGAAAGCGATGTGCACCTCTTCTTCCACCCAGTGGGGTGAGGAGACCCTCCAGCTGCAAGGTCTTGGAAGACACTGACAGGACCGATCAATTCAAACCACCAATTAATTCCAAGTAGTAGCTCCCCTTGCTCAAAGAATAAATTAGCTTTCTGCGCAAAGCATACATAAAGTAATATTTCTTTATGTTATTCTAGCATGCCTAATTAGTTACTGAAAGCCCCTGCAGTTAATTAAGCTGCATTTTGATAGATGTTGCACCTTGGCCTAAATCACAAGTTGTTTTCCTAGTAAACAAGAGGTGCAACATCTGTCTTTTCTGTGACAGTAAAGAACCTAAAGGATGCGTTTTCTATTGGGTAGCAAGAAGTACTATCAAATTTTACCAGGCAGAATCAGTCTTTCAGCAGAAAAATAAGCAGCAATTACAAACATCAGCCAAAACTATTTAACTTATTAAACAATAGCCATTTAATCCTCTGATATAAATTAATTTTCCCTGTGTAATTCATATATAATCTCAGTGTGATCTCACCACAGCCACCTCAGGAAAGACTTTCACCTTCCTCTGCTGTGATATGATCTTGTGTGTGGGCAGCTGAAAGTCGCACTTGCTGCACTTCTACCAAATTGCTTTGCTAACGCATATCCAATTTGCTGGAGACTGCGAAGGCCAAACAAGAACAAATCAGAGCTGAAAGGCAGAGCAAGCTGCGTGATGGTGGCACAAAGCCTTGGAGGCACCAGGCAGACCTTTGGGACCCTGACAGAACACACCTGAAAGGCACTATGAGTGACAGCTGTACATACACATGGAGAAGCTGAAGCATAGCGCTTCCACCACAAAAACCTACAGGCAGATCCACATGCCAGAATGCCTGCACCAAGGCTGTGAAATATCTGGGACTCTGC